TCGGCCGTTTTTCTTTTCAGAAATCGACCTAAATTTTCATCACTCTCAACGTCGCCTGGGGCGTCCAAAGACCCTCAAACAAGGTCTATAAACCTCCGTATTATTGATGTTGCGACGAAGTGGTGCAACAAATCAAGCCTCGAGACCCCTGTCTTTCGACTGGTCAGGGACTTCTGGACTCTTCTAGGCCCTACCAAGTATTACTCGTCGTCTTAGTCTTTACATAAAACCCGGCTTTGGTAAGTCACGAAAATATTTGGTCGTCGTCATAAGAACTTTATGATAAGAAACATGTGGTGTCCTTCGTCAACATTTCTGAAGTCTTGACCTTCACTACCTAGGTGAAAGAATCACCAGTCCTCCCTGAGCTCGTCGCGACAAGAGCTTAGTCGCGTCGGAAGATTATCTAAAAAATACCTCTGGACACTTCTTTGTGGTAATGTCATCAGGTCAGATGACTTCTATTTTCGTACCTGTTCTGTTTAGGACGACACTGTAATCAGAACATTGATCTATACAAGAACAGAAATCCACTATCAATCCGACTAAACATTGACAAAATTACACTGACAACTTTGAGTCCAGTCTCAGGGTACTGATGTGGATCTAAAGAACGGAAATAGACAACAAAAACCTTGTAACGTCTGACTTCGAGTCGCGATTGAAATATGCAAGACCGGAACCGAGGTTTTTTGGTGTAATGGAGGTCAAATTAGAAACAAATTAACCTCTTTTCAAGACCTGGTGTAGTCAGTAACTAAACAAAGTACGTGAATGAGTCACAAACTTAACCTCGTATCAGAGGACACACTTTTATACAATGCATGTAACACACACAGTAGGCGTATCGATAACATTGAACACCCGTGGGGGAGATACTTTGCGTTCGATGGGGTGTCGTGGGGGTTTTCTTTTAGAGACCGCGCCCTGTGACCGGTGCCCATGTACCGCCAAAACACACGGGAGGGTACCTTTAGTAATTCCGGAGGAGACAATCAAACATAGACCCGCGGCCCAGACATGGTCGGAGTACCTCTGACTTGTCTGTCTCGACACCTCTTATTGCTGTATACTCAAAAAGTCTTAGGCTCGTCTTGTAGATCGTGTCTTCGTCATCAACCAAGCTCTGGCGCCTGACTCGAGAACATTAGGAGATGCCGGTGGTTGGAAAGGCAGTATCAATTTTGTTCGGAACCGGAGGCTCCATCTTTGAATGAAATGTGTCCTCTGAAGAGAGAGTGTCGGTCTACGGTGTTACTGCTGAACTTGGCCTCGACTTTTACTACGTTTGACTGTGTATCCAGTCTCTTGTTGTTGGGAACAAATGGTGGGTCTATAGACGAAGCTCTTATGTGTCGGCGCGGGTTGTAAACCAGGTAATATACGGGAAAGAGCGAACTAGACTACAAAACGGAATTTTTGTGAGAACAATTGTTACCATACGAAGGTTGGATTATTTTCGTTACTGAAGTAGTCTTGAACTATTCATATCTTAGACTGCACTGTAACTTTTATCCATGTATTTTTTCTTTTAATGTTTATTTTATTAGCTTTTCTTTTTAATGACTGATTTTAAATGCCATTTTCTTAATGTCTTTCATTTTTTGTAAAGCACTTTGAATTGCCTTGTGTTGAAAAGTGCTATATAAATAAACTTGCCTTGCCTTGCAACAATCCCCACACACACATACACAGTACACCCACGACTGTTACAATGAAGGCTCGATAATCAGCTCACGGCATATAGGTGTAAGCAGGGGTAAAGTGCTATTTTTACAAGTGGGGGGTGGACCTCACCTCCTCTAGGGGGGTCCCGGGGAAGATTTTTTGTTTTATATTGAAGTTAAAAGCATCAATCTGGTGCACTTTGAAAGCAACATTAAGAGATCTATGGATACATCTCTCAACACCCATATGAAACAGAACTGTAAACTGGCTTATCGAAAACCAGTTGAGTAGCACTTGAAATGTTTTAGCTCTATGAAACCTGATGTACTTATATGATTCTGTTTTCTTCAAGGTTTTATCTTGTTGGTCTAACGCACTTATTGTAAGTGGCTTTGGATAAAAGCGTCAGCTAAATGCAATGTAAACAGATTTACTTTTTCTTTATGGATATTTTACAAATCACTCCCCTTTTAAACTGTATTCTTGTTTTACTGTCATATAGTGTCATACCTGTTTTTTATTTATTACTCTTATATTACTATCTGGCGTCACATACATCATAGCCTTATACAGTTCAGAGTTTATTTATAATTTAAGAAAATGTAAAAATATATTTTTTAAATCTGTATAAATAAAATAAAACTTGTTTATTGGGGGAGGGCAGGAATGTCAAATGGGAGGGCCTTGAAAAAACAATGTGTTGTGTACGTGTGGACTAGGCCTAACATTTTTACAAAGAAAGCATACTGTACATAAAAATAAACTCTTGGAAACATACTCATTTTCTATGGGCTGCAGGGTCATCACATATCAACCCAAGTGGAGACGTTAAGGGGATTTTTCAACGACGCGTCACCAAAAGAGTTTAAATCTTTAATGAAGAATAGTTTTCTTCCCCCCCCATTTCAGATCCACAGACTTGAAGGTTGTAAACCATCCCTGCTAGTTAAATACAGGTGACTCTTTCGCCTGAAGTCAACAGCAGGAATCCAGTTATTTTCTACCACCACAGGTAGCAGAAAGAAGAAATGTAGTACGTACTGTAAAGGTGAATTCATTTATATCTGCCTTACATCGAAAAGGGTCCTCACAGAGATATCTACGGTGAATCTAAAGACACCAAGCTGGTCGTCTTTGTGTGAGATGAGTCCTGATCTATCACAGAGCTTCCTGCCAAAGTGTGAGAGGGTAGAGGGAGAAAACATGGCTTGGCTGTGCAGACTAAAGCAACCCTGCAGTATCTCAGCTCGTCTTTGGCGTCCGAGCGTAGAGACAGCTCGATCCCTGGCATCCGGACCCTGTACCTGGCTTTATAAGGCCTTGAGCGATGCCAGAATCGGGCTATTCCTGGAGACGGTCCTCAGCTCCGTACCCAGAAAGCTTTGTTTGGACTGAGGCAGAGGAGGGGATGTACGGCCGCCGCTGCCACACAGAACGCCCCCCCCCCCAACTTCACATATTAAATCTTTATTATCTACACACATTCCAGTGTAGAAGAGGACACACTTTTAATTTTTATTTCTTTTTCCATGTGGAGACAAAGAGGCTGTATAAGATTAACAACTCAGTTGGTTCTCCTGTACTGCGTTGGATGGCTGTTATAAGTGTTAATGGTTTGTTTGGATCAGCATGGAGTACCACATGGGCACAGTTTAGTAAATGTGCTAAGTATAAATGTGTGCTCACAAAAAACCTTCTATTAAGTTTATATTTCCAGTTCATTCTTCTTACGCAGCCCAAACAACATCCTTGTTGCCATGTGTCCCTCAACATGGTAACAAAAAAACACCAGTTAAAACAAAGCATATATCAGTTGTAACTTTATCTAATTTCACCCCAATGTGTGTGTTTTTGATTTGTTGGTTTTTAGATTCAGATTTCACCTTTTTATCAAAACATGTAGCCTTTGTTTTTAAACTTAAAAAGCTTCTATTGAGTACAGAGTACCTTGCAGCTTATATAGTGTAGAATCATCATGAAGCTAACCCTGATTACTCGCAACACTCTAATGTCCCTATTTCTGGATAATATGTCATTTCTGAGACTTTAGAGACATTGGGATTCTGACAGCAAT